TCATATGATCGGAAACCTGTTTTAAAAAAATTTGATATGGTGTCGAGATTATATATTTCTATCAAAAGAAAAATGCCGAAACTACAACCGGTTCGTCAATTGTTTCGTCCGAATGAGGGTGTGAATTCTGGATTTTATTTCAAATTTCATAGAAATAGGAATGTCCATTCTTTTTTTTATAGTATAATTTATTTATATAATTTATAAATTTATATATTTTATTTTATTCTATTCTATTCTTTTTTTTCTCTTTTTAGATTTGTGTTTAATCATTATTCAATAAAACATGCAATCCGCGATAAAAATTATTCATTAGAGTCAATCTTCCACGTTAAAGTTTTTCCAGCCCAAAATGGAATGACGATTCCAATTTTTGCTTCTTGTCTATCGTCAAATGAGTACGAGTTTGGAACTGACCAAGTTTCTTTAATCAATTTAATTTCACGGCATTTATCCTCCTTTTCTTTTACATCATAAAATTTCTTGCCATTCTCACAAGCAAATAATTTAAGCATATGAAGCGCGTTAAATGATTCAAAGATTGTAGCAAGGTACGGAAGAGTTAAAGGAGTAGTAAATACACCAGCACATGCTTGAGCACATTCTTTAAGATGTGCGGGGTGTGGAGCAGAATCTGTCCCCAAGAAAAATCGAGGATGGCCTGCAAAAAGTTGAATTAAATTATAAAAATCGTTCGGTTCAATGTAAATCACCAAAATAATAAATACTTGCCTTCAAGGATTATATCACGTAAAGCTTTACGATCGTGAGGAAATTTTGCAACAGGTTTACAAAAATTATGACATTGGCCAGCCCAATCATCAACAATAAGTTGCAAATGATGAATCGTTATGGTACAGCCAACGGTGTCTCCAAGTGATTTTACCTAAGGAAAAAAATTCATGAAATAAATGGATCTTTTTTTTTTTTAAAAAAAAAAAAAAAAATGAAAACTAACTTTACCGTTTCAATCGCAGCTTTAGTTGTAGCATGTTCCAAGACGATTTTTAATTTCGGGAAATCATTATGTAATTTTTTTAAATGTATTAAAAATTTTTCTTCGGCATTCATTACACAAACATCCTAAAATCATTAATGAGAAGAGAATTTTTAATCATCATAACATAATAAATCAACAATAATATGATGATCATGCTTTATTTACAAGAGCTCACATTTTCTAAATCACTTGGTAATTCACCATGTAGGTTCAATATCATTCCCACTTCTTCCATTACTTTAAAAACCGGATAATAAACAGTATATGATTCTATACCAGAATCCGAATTAGTAGTTACTCCTCTTGGATATGATTTGACACCAATAATGCCATTTGCTTTAGCCTTTCTAATTTCTTCAGGTGTCAAATCAGGACTAAGATATAAACTCATAAGAAAGGTTACATTCGGTTCTAATTTTTCTAATTGAGCTTTATAATCAAGGGCTTGTTTTGTAGAAGTAATAGGTGGTTTAAGATTTGGCTATTAGAATAAATTAAACGTTAGCCTATCTATCTTTTACCAATGAGCAGGAACCTCAATTTTATTAGTTTTGTCTACCATGACATAACATAACGAAACCCCTCCTTCTGCGATTCGAGGAACCACCATGTTCATTAAATCATCTTGTCGAAGATGAATATGAAAATCACTTGCTGAAGGAAGCACTAAAGTTTCTGGCATTTTTCTTTTGATAGAAATATATAATCTCGACACCATATCAAATTTTTTTAAAACAGGTTTCCGATCATATGA